CGTTGACCTCGTCATCTTTCACTAAGACCCTTTGATCCTCACTCTTAATGCATTTATTATAGTCTAGATCCCTACTCTTTTTCTCTCTTATTCTTGCTAATTTGAAGACATCTTCACCTTCTCTTATTCCCAATTTATTGTATAGCATATCATATGCCTTAAGTTTAGCTTTACTTACTATTTGTTTAGGGTTTTTCTTAGCATTGTTATATTCTTCTAAGTTTTGATCGTTTCTATTGCACTGCCAAGTTTTATGACATGATCGTTTTTCATTAATGGCCTTCTGAACCTCATCGCTCCACCACCAAGTTTCCTTATCGAAGTTTCTTTTCCCTCTAGATTCTCCTAAAAACTCTTTTGCCACTTTCTTGATACAGTCAGTCATAGCATTCCATATTACATTGGCATCATGTTCAGAGTTCAATTTTCTTTCGTCAACTAATTTATCCCTAAATGGGACTATTTTCTCATTTTGTATATTCTACCACCTAGTTCTTGGACCTCCATTACATTCAGCCCTTCTTTTCCATGTCTTTATGCAGACGTCCATAACCACGAACCTATGTTGGGTAGTCAAACACTCTCCTGGGATAACCTTGCAGTCTTTACATGATGGTCGATCTACCTTCTTTACTAGGAAGAGGTCTATCTGGCTTTTATCTGATCTACTTTTATAGGTTATTAAATGTTCATCTCACTTTTTAAAGTAAGTGTTCATTATTGCTAGGTCATAAGCCAGAGCAAAATCTAAAACAGGCTCAACCATCTCATTTGGGAACAAGAAATACAAACTATATAAACAAAAATTAAAGTGTCAAAAGATTACCTCAATTGGATTTGATACATCCAACTAGGGTCTCCTCCGATGGCGCACGAGGATCAAGGTCTTTCTCATATCTTTACAAGTATGAGAAGCCTAGGCTAGAAACCCTTCAATGGTAAGAGCCATATGGAATAAGATCAAGGCCTCAAGACTATGTGTATGGGGTGTCCCTTTGGCTACTATGGTTGAGGTGTGGCCCTCTTTTCTTCTCTAAATTCTCTACGTGTTAGAGAGATGGTAGAGAGATGAGAGATATCAGAGTGAGAGAAGGGCATGAGGCTCTTTAAGGAGAGAGAGATGTAACATAGGTTTTGAGAATGGGATCCCCCATTGAGACTTTTTATAGACTCATGATTCAGTTAGAGTTTCTAAGGCTAGCCATTCCTTATGGAGATTAAATCTAGACTATTAATCATAGGAGACCTGTGAGGTAAGAGATCTTAGCCTTACAATCCATAGATCAGCCATCATGATCTAATGGAAGGTGCTAGAACATTATCCTTCAGTTTTTTTAACCTAATCCCATCAAAATATATAGTGTCGAGAAAAATTAATTTACTTTACTTTTAATTTCTTCACTCTCTTACACATGCCTCTTTGAAAAGTCAAATATCTTTTCATTACAAAACCTTCCCTTTTAGTTCAATCAATTGAGTGGCAGGTTCATGCCCCAACAAAATAAGAAAACAAATTGCACATAGTGGGGCGGCACGCCCATAAGGCCACAAGTGGGCCCCATGCACCTCCCTCCCCACATGCTATAATTTGGCGAGGCTCATGAAGAATAATGGACCTCAATATATCTTAGTTATTTTGAAATTAATATCAAGATTTTTTTAAAATATTTAATATTTTATTTTTCTCTTTGAATAATCAAATATCTGAAAATTCAATTTAAGCCCATTTATAAATCTATTTTGAAAAAAATAAAATACCCAGAGATTTTAAAAAATTCATTTTGTCATTTTAAAAATCATTTATAATCAAATTAATTATTATTAAGTTAATTTGATAGGATCTGGATCCAACTATATTAAGGAAGTAGCGAAATTGCTAAAGCACTCCATCTTCTATTAGAGACCATGAACCACACTCACTTTCTCAAACTGACACAGTAGTTCCCATAACCCATAGTCCATCACAGGGATCCATAATTGGGCTATCGAAGTCAGCTAATAGATGATGGGACACAATCATAATCTATGGATTACATGTTCCCCCAAGGGACAAGCCTAGATCACATAGACCTATGCACACACATCAATGTTTGGTGCATGGGGGTTACCTTTCGCACTTGTACACGTAACATTTTTAATGGTGCTTCGCTTCCCGATACGGCTATCATGTGTACATGTCGTGTGATGGACTATGATGAGGATTTGGCTCTTGTCCCTTCAAGCCTACCAATCACACACAAGGTTTACATTGTCCTTTGGTTAACTACCTTGAGAAACTCTGACCTCATCAAGAGATAACCTGTATCAGTTGTGCTCTATGCCCAGGTATCTGAGGGTTTTAGTACTCAACTGACCTAGCTCATCAAGCCTAGTTTGAGTCTCGGCATCAATATTGCCAACCTCAGTCCCTCTGGACCATACTCCCACTGAAGTTCATTGTTCCACTATAGTAAAATTTGTTACATGTCCGGATCTCCTGCAGGAATGGTTTGGAAGATCCAAAAATAGTGGTATTTGCAAGCAACAACATAATGGAGGCAGTCAATCAATATAGATTGATCCGAAATCTGATTCAAATCCAATATAGCACCTATGGGTACATAAGAAATGTATCGAAGAGATTCTTTTTAATGAATAGATCCGATTGCAACTTCGAATATGGAATTCAAAGGGATCAAATAGGAAATGATACTCTGAATCATATAACTATAATGAAATATACGATCAACCAACATTTATCGAATTTGAAAAAGAGTCAGAAGAAATGGTTCGATCCTCTTATTTCTCGAACCAAGAGATTCATGAATCGGGATCCTAATGCATATAGATACAAATGATCCAATGGGAGCAAGAATTTCCAAGAACATTTGGAACATTTCGTTTCTGAACAGAAGAACCGTTTTCAAGTAGTGTTCGATCGATTACGTATTAATCAACATTCGATTGATTGGTCCGAGGTTATCGACAAACAAGATTTGTCTAAGTCACTTCGTTTCTTTTTGTCCAAGTCACTTCTCTTTTTGTCTAAGTCACTTCCTTTTTTCTTTGTGAGTATCGGGAATATCCCCATTCATAGGTCCGAGATCCACATCTATGAATTGAAAGGTCCGAATGATCAACTCTGCAATCAGTTGTTAGAATCAATAGGTGTTCAAATCGTTCATTTGAACAAATTGAAACCTTTCTTATTAGATGATCATGATACTTCCCAAAGATCGAAATTATTGATCAATGGAGGAACAATAGCACGATTTTGGTTCAATAAGATACCACAGTGGATGATTGACTCATTCCATACTAGGAATAATCGCGGGAAATCCTTTAAGAACACGGATTCCTATTTCTCAATGATATCCCACGATCGAGACAATTGGCTGAATCCCGTGAAACCCTTTCATAGGAGTTCATTGATATCTTCTTTTTATAAAGCAAATCAACTTCGATTCTTGAATAATGATTCCCTTTTTATGTGGAAAAGACCCGTATCAATAATTATGATCTTACATATGGACAATTCCTCAATATCTCGTTCATTCGGGGGAGAACCAGCTAGCTCTGGGTTCGAGTGGCATTTCACCCCTAACCACAACTCATCCGCTGATTCTTCAACATCAGTCGGTTCGGACCTCCACTTAGTTTCACCCACCTCCACTTAGTTTCACCCACCTCCACTTAGTTTCACCCAAGCTTCATCCTAGTCATGGATAGATCACCCAGGTTCAGGTCCATAAGCAGTGACAATTGCCCTATGAAGACTCGTTTTCGCTACGGCTTCGGTGGGTTCCCTTAACCAAGCCACTGCCTATGAGTCGCCGGCTCATTCTTCATAAGGCCTTTAAATAGCCGCAAAATTCCAACATCCTAGCGATGAGCTAGGTTTGATCCCCAATACTAACATTTGTTTTATTGACTTTTTACAAGAAATTGCTGAAAAACTAGCTGAAATTTTCTGATTTCACTATTTAACTTGGCAAGCTGATTCATTTGGCCTAGACTGAGTTTGCCATCAAGTTCGAGTTTTTAAAATCTGATTAGAAGACCATAATACAAGATCAGAGGGTGCCAGTGGCAAAGAAAACAAGGACCAAACTTTCTCATAAACTCTAGCTTAGGAGGGAGGGCAAGTGGCAAACATAGTACAGAGACGAAAAGAGGAAATATTTGAAAATTGCAATATCATAACACTACTTCAGCAAAACAACAAAACCATCTTAAAATTTTTGTGAGCAATTTCCTCAAATGTGGAAAGCACGATTCCAATCTCAGCCTCAGAAACTATCTTGCATTTGAGTTATATTTCAGTATCACGAATTACCACATTCCAAGATAACAATACCCCTCAGTCCACATATTGGTCACAAGCTCCAAAACCTCATGAAACCCGGGTGAAGAAATCAGAGATAGGAGCCTTCATTTAAGGTCATGAAATCAGTTTGGGGCCAACCCAGTTGAGGTCTTACGGGTCACATGGCAAACCAATGGCGTCCTGGAAATCACCATCTCATGGATAGAGAGGTCAGGCCCTGCGGATGATATGAAAGAGGGAACCCTATAATCTGGATTGTTCCTTTGTTTACACTGCCTGGACTCATCACGGCAAATCTGGTAGATGAGTCCTCACACATAGGACCCATGACCATGGCCCAGAGAAAGGCAGTACCAATTAACATTTGAGAAATGGTAGAAAGACAAAGATGCAGTTGTCTGCATTTGTCATGTAACAAATACATAAAAACACCTAATATATAGTTTATGCTTTTCATGAACCACTTCAGCTTTGTTTCAGTTAAAAATTAGTTCAATGACGAACCTAGTAGTAGAACAATAATAGTTTATGAGAACTAGTCCTCTCAAAATATTCATGAAAAAGGGAAAAGGGAAAATTAGGAAAAACATGCAATACACACAAAATGAGGATCAGTGAATTAAACTACGACGAAAAAATTTCCATTATTGACCTACCCCACCATAACAATACACAACGAGATAGACATGCTTACATATGAACAGCATATCCATGCCTAAGGAAAGAGCTTCCGGCCCCACATATTGTGTATAGCCCATCAATAAAATCAGTTGGTGACTCTGGAACGTCAGCAGGCTTCCATCGCAGTTGAGTTGGAGTAGCAGAGCTCGAAGATTGATTGAATTCACTAACCAGATGTGCGTGTGTAGGAACCCGAGGATGGAATGGTTCGTGAGTCACAGATGGTTTGATCCGATACAACCAACTGACAAAAATAAATAAGATTTTAATATTTACGACAGATTAATCTTCCATAAAACAGCATATTCTGTAGATACAACAATATAAACAGAGCATAATCCGTACATTGTATCAACAACAAGAAATGGACATAATCAATTAAGATTAACAACAGAGCGACTCCAAGGAGTCTGATGGTGTCCCAAACAAGATGTCCCTTCATTACTCTCTTCAAAGTTGAAATCAGCAGTTATAGCAACCAAAGGAAAAATTAAGTTATATAATCAAGATTCTCTATTCAACCTAATTAACTACCAAATCATAGGAGTTGAAGCTATGAGAAAAATATTCATGCGATGAAATAGGACTATCAATAGGTTTAACAGAATGAAACTGCCATTATGGCTGTTTGATGGACATGCACAGAATATTGAAGAACTCAGACTTCAAAATATCATCAAACATGAATTAGAAAGGGCACAGTCTCCGAATCCAACTATGGACATGCAAGGAATGCGTCCAACTAGAAAAGGATGGAGAAACCAATCACAAAATGAACTTATAATGCAAAATGGATTGCAATTCCACCAACATTTGCCTTCCCTGAGGATATCATCAGAGTGTTGCAAGTTCAACCATCTCAACGCAATGAACAAGCCCAACCCATTTGGGTCCTCTTTCCCTATAACTAGAATTGGACCTCCTTTTAGAAATTCAATTCAAATAGATCAGCTAGAATCAAGAGGCAAAGCCTTTCTGCACAAGTAAAATATAAAAACCGAATCAAGTCACCCACCAACTTGGACACTGGAATCCCTCCATTAAGAAGACTTAAAATAGACAATAACAACTAGACTGCAGATGGGATCCTCCAAGGATAAGAAGCTCTTGCTAGCCAAGCCAACAGCAGAGAAACTTCATCCTAGATGTACCAAAGAAACACATCATACCGTGCCAGTGTAACTGATGCATTTGAAAAGCTCCATTGAGTCATTCTTTCCTCCCCACCCAACACCCCCCCCCCCCCAACTCAGGGACCATATTTGCCATTGCTGAAGATAATTTCCAGTGAGCTAGTTCCTTTTTATACCAACCAATATCTTATTCTTAACTGATAAAACAGCACATAATTTTAGAAGAAACTCCCTCACACGGATTATATGGACAAGAAATTCCACAAGGCCTCCTGGTCAAAAGCTTAATATAAGAATCTCACATAGAACTCTCCAAGGTTTGTCCAAAACAGAATCATCATGAACACATGAAGACTTCCACTCTCGTAGAGAACCATTCTACCTCCAAGTTCCCCAAGCAAGATGTTGCGAAAATCACATGGTCACCACCAAAAGGTTCAACTTGAGTCTGCAGCTTCACAAAGAAAGAACTATAACGCAACCCATAAAAATGTCTGTCCAAAGAGGGAATCCTCAAACCCATCTGGCCAAGTTCCAAATGCTCATGGACAAGGTATCACGCCCGTCATTTGCAAAGCAAGAACCATGCTCAACTACTTACAAGGGCTCAAAATTGAACCAAAAACCCACAAATTTCTTACGTGATTATGTCAATTTCCTAATAAGGTTGAAGGTCCTAATCCCAAAATAGGAGTGTTATTAACAAGCTCAATGACTTAGAGATCGAGTCTAAGATACAGGTATAGATCCCATGCTCCATCAATCCTCTATCAGCAACAGAAGCCACAAAGGCCCCAACAATTGGCTAAAAATGGGACGGCCCCTAGACAAGGTCATGCATGAAACTTCTGAAGTATGTTTCTAACCCAGCCAAAGTATGTTTGAAACCAAGGTAACAAATATCTCAAAGCTTGGGATAAGGAAAATAATGGAATGGAAGTTCCCACAAGTGACAAAAGTTCCTGCAAGGCTATACATCTTAGGTGGTTTATCCAGCTTCATTTGCTAGACATGATGCCATCGAGCAAGTTTATAAGGGTTCTCCACATGTGTGAGCTTTGCCAATTACTTCTTTGCCCTTTAGCCTTTGTGGTTATCTATTCTAATACATAATTAAAAAAAAAACTAAGGGTATTTTTGTAAGGCCATATTGGATACAATTGGAACAAAAACATGGGCCAAGGACAAAATGGTAAAGTCGCATAACTTAGGGTTAAAGTGAGTAATAATGGTGTGAAATCCCATCCCTTCATCCTAGTGGTTGAATGGGGATGGGTGGCTAGTTACATTAGCCTCTCATGTGCCTTTGGATTAGTGCATTAAAGGTGTTGATTGAATCCAAAGTTACACCCATGTTATAAAAGCACATCATGAGATCTCAAACCCTAACTATCTCAACTCTTGAACCATTTTGGAAAATAGTTCCTCCCCTCCTTCTTCTAAGGTTTTGTGAGAGAGATTGAAGAGAGAGAAAATTTGGAGTTCCATTAATGGTGATCTTGATGGTGGTCCTCATTTCTTATGCTTAAGTCCATAGTGTGCATTTATCAAGGTAAACTCCATTGAATTTTCTTTTCTCATAAGGTCATATCCTTGGCATCTATAGTTGCTAGAGTTTTGAATTTAGAAAAGTTTCATTGATCTTAGAATCCTCATTTGATCATCTTTTTCATCATGCTTATTCATAGTGTGGTCCTTCATGAGTTACAGCTTATATACATGAGAATCCATAATCATGCATAATATCCACTAATTACTTTGCTTCAAACCCATCAAATAATTTAGTCTTAGAGTGTCATTCCATTTTCAAAACTTTTTCATCACGTTTTTACCTATGAAGGTTCATAATCTTTCCATACAAGACTGTTTTGGTGGTCCAAGAGACCACCGTGCGTAGTTTGGCCATAACTCTCTTGTTCTTTATCCGATTCAATTCAAACCTTTGTCATTCTATTTTGGATGATAATGCCAATGTGTTAAGATCTTAAAAAGTGATTTTAAGGGGTGTAATTTCTTCTCATTTGGATTAGACACTCTTGTGAGATTGAACCACTTTTGAACGATCCGAAAGGACAAAATTAAGTCCTTGTAGGGCCCGATTGCGTGGCCCCATGGCTTCCCTATTTTAATTTGGTATTCTAATTCCATGTTTAGTTGATTTTATTCTTTAGAATTTTATTTAGATTAGTTGCATGATGTATTTAAGCTTTGGGACATAGTTTATGTAATTTGTGCTATGAAAGTGTAAGTCATAAGCTAGTCTTGCTTTATATGTAATTGCCCCATAAGTGGTTAGTATTTGAGTTTATTTACAGTGGTTATACAAGGCTAGAAATGGTTGTAATTGTTATGTAAAAAGATTGTAACTTATTCACTTAGCTTGGTTTTTAGCAAGTGGCTTATTGAAGGTGTCCATTTTGCCTTGTTTTTCGGCTTGGAAATTTGCTCTAGTCTTTGTATCCACTTTCAGTTTTGACAGCTTGTTATTTCATAAATCATATGCCTTCCTCTATTTTGGATGGAAAAATCACCACTTTTTTTTCTTTTACCCAATAGACCCTTGTTTACGGTGCCCCCCAAAGTTTTTGGGTGTGTTGGCTTTGTTCAGGTCTTCGGTCATGGAACAAACAAAATGGATCCCCGAGCTATTAAGTGTGTATGTTTAGGGTAATCTCATACCCAAAAAGGCTATCAGTGTTATCATCCTCATTTGAAAAAGAACTGTGTATCTGCTGATGTTACCTGTTTTAAAAATATTCCATACTTTTCTGATGAGGGTAAAATGCTAGAAATAAATTCAGGACAGTCCGCACAAAGGTTGAATTCACAACCCATTACTTCCTCTACTCCAGTTTCCATTCCTATTCCTTTCTCGATTGATAATTCATTATCTCAAAGTCTCCTTCTATAGAGCCTGCCTCTCCTCCTATTACTAGTGTTCCACATAAGCAACCTCTCAAAGTGTATGAGAGAAATTAAAAGAGCCATTACAACAAACTCAAGCAACCGACCAACTTCTTCTTTATCTATGGATCCTCATCCTATTCCTGAACCTACTCCTGAAGTTGAAAGTATTGATCACCCAATAGCATTTCATAAAGGTCACCGATCATGTACAAAACATCTTATTGCTTATTTTGTTACATTTGAAACTTTGTCTCCACATTATAAGAATTTTGCTTTTAGCTCTTTCGTCTATTTCCATACCTATATGCCTATCAGGAAGCTCTTTTGCATGTTGGATAGAAGAAAGCTATGGATGAGGAAATTGTTGCGCTTGAGTCAAATGGTACTTGGGAGCTCATTGATTTGCCAATAGAAAAAAGACCAGTTGGATGTCATTGGGTATTTACCATTAAGTACTAGCCAGATGGATATGTAAAGAGATTAAAGGCTAGACTGGTGGGAAAGGGATACAATAAGACATTTGGTAATAATTATTCTAAGACATTAAGGGGTGGTTATTACGGCAACTTGATGTCAAGAATGCATTCCTTCATGGGGATTTACAAGAAGTCTATATGGAGCAACCATCGGGGTCTATTGCTCAGAGGGAGTTAGACAAGGTATGCGCTGGATATATAGCCCTTTTGTGTGCGATGCTAGCACTGTTCAAAGTCATAGTGGGAGTGACCAAGAACATTGTGGCTAGTGGAATCTTTGCATACTGGGATCCAAATAGACCAAAATAACCTTGTTTGACTGAAGCGAGGTTCTTGGACAATTTTGTGAATCGAGGGGTTTTAGGGTTTTTCTCTAGCCAAAGTCGATATGACTGCGTTCGCCTCATGTCGTGTGAGCAAGGGCTTAGGATCAGTGGATCCCGGCTCGTTTAAGATATGTTTTGTGTAAGCCCTGTGTGAGCATAGCTAGGCTATAAGAGGACATAAGCCCAAATCCTTACCATATGAAGCTTGCTCACAATGTGTGCACAGACAGTCGCATTTTGAGAAACCGTTCTGATGAGATAAGATCCACCTATCAGAACTGTACACACTTGCTGAGAGAGGAAGCCTACATCCGCAAGAGTGCACGTCCTTAGAGGGCAACTGTAATCCAATGAACACCCTGGAGTCCGTCCAACTGTCGGTTACCTAATGGGCATGACGTAGAAACCCTAACCTTAGACATGAGACCCTTGTTTGGTTGTAACACATAACATTGATAAGTATGCACTAGTTTATGGTACATGTGTGAGGCACGTGTGTGATCACATATGGGAGTGTAGAGATTTCACTATTTTCATAAAATGTTTAAACTCTTAAACTCCTAATTTTGTGATTTGATATCCATTAGATTTTTGAAATGGAGGATTGTGATTAGTGTGAAGAAGATAAGGGGGACACACCATGACATGGGATGATATAATCTCCCCCCTTTGATAATGATATTGCAGTAGCTTGTGTAAAACACAAGTCTTAACACCTAAGGTAGCAAAAGGTGGCACGTCACCCTCATTAGGGTTCTATAAAGATCACATTAAATCAAAGTTGGTGATTTGTTGTTTTGAAAATCTATGGTTGAGATGAATTGGATTTGAAAATTAGGGTTCATGGGCACTTAAGATATTATTGCAATTTTGGAGGTGTTATGTGGGCATGGTGATAAGGGTGTACTCAATCATCACCATCCATGTGACAGCCATCAATGGTGATTAACTAGGCTAAATCTTTAGCCTCTCTCAACCCTTTGATCCCTCAAAGGGTGGTTGAAATCTAATCTAGATTTTATACCCCACATGAAAAATTTTAAAAGGACCACTTCCGACTTCATTCAACACTTCTTGCCTGCATTTTAATTCACCACTCCTTCTCAAAGAGGCTCACCCCCCACTCATAGCTTGCTTCTTCTTTCATCTCAAAGATCATTAGTTGAGTTTCTTACCTCCTTCATAATTACATTCCTCCCATCCCATGATCAAAGTCTGGTCATTGAAGCCTCATCAAGCACCCTCCCTTGATTTAAGGTTGTTATCATGTCAAGGCAATGCTGTTGGAATTTATGATAACAGTAAGCAATTCTCGCTCATAGTTTCTTTTTGAAGTGTTGCGGTGTTTCAATTAAAGAGCCTTTGCATTTGTATATTTTGTTGGTGTAGTTTTAAAGCTATTAAATGCAAATTGTTGTGGCTTCAATGCTATTGAAAATACAATTGTATGATGCATAACAATAAGCATTTAGTATGCTCCAAGTACCAAGTTTAGCCCTCTTGATCCCATAAGTGTTTGGATATTAAACCAAACCCTAGAGTCAAAACTATCCCGTTTGGAGCCCGTTTTGGCTCCATTTTCTCCCCCTTCGATTCACATGGTCCAATGTCCAATTTATTGTTCTTTTGCACTCTTTATAAGAATGAGAATTTCGAGATGTAGTGGTGATATGGTTGCTTCCCAAGATTAAATTGAAACCACGCCCTTCTTGTGTTATCGATTGCGAGTGATAGCAAAGGCTGTGATCATACCACTGCAGTATTCGCATGGTGGGTGTGTGAAATCGGCTTCCCATAAGTATTGAACTCATGCACACTTACTTTTTAGTCTTTGCTTTTGTTTTATTGCTTTATGGTTGAATTGTAAAAGAGTTGTGCTCAACTTGTAAGGTTATTGTTGATCAAAGACTATTGGATTTTGATTTTGTATTTTGATTTGTAGTTTGTAATAAATAGGGTTTTCCCCAAGGTTCAATGGAAGTTTATGTAAAGTGTTTTTAAATTTTTTTTGTTTTGTATGCTTTGTGTGATTCCCCTGATACTACTTCAGTATGCAGGTTAAAGGAAACAATTTATCGCCTAAACTAGTCACCACACGTATGGTTTGAGAAATTCAGTGAACTTGTTATGGAATATGGGTTTCAACGGGAATTATGTGGATCATTCAGTATTTATTCAAATACAAGCCGTTGGAACTATTATCTTGGTTGTTTATATTGATGATATTATTATTACATGCAGTGATCAAGAAGAAACTAGAAAATTGAAGTATTATCTACAACAATATGGTTTGACAAAATAATTGGGGCAACAAAGATATTTTCTTAGGATTGAAGTACCTTGGCCACAATATGGTATTTACCTATCCCAAAGGGAAAATGTAACTGATTTACTAACAGAAACAGGGATGTTGGGGGCTAAACCAGTTAACACACCGATAGATCCAAGTTCCAAACTATCAGTGGATCAAGGAGACTTACTAGAAGATCCTGGAAGATATAGAAGACTTGTAGACTTATATACCTGACAATCACTAGACCAAATGTAGCCTTTGTTGTGAGTGTACTAAGTCAGTTTACGGCTTTATGCATCCAAGAATACTACACTGGGAAGAAATAAGAAGAATTTTGAGATACCTGAAGGGAGCCCCAGGCCCATGATCCTTTACAAGAAGACTGGCCACTTTGACATTGAGAGTTATTCTGATGCAAATTAGGCAAGATCACCTTCAAATAGAACATATGCTACAGGCAATTGCACTTTTGTTGGAGGAAACTTGGCAACTTGGAAAAGTAAGAAACAGAATGTGGTAGCCAGATCTAGTGCAGAGGATGAGTATAAAGCTATGACTCATCCTACGAGTGAGTTAATGTGGCTGAAAACCTTAATGCAAGAAATGGGTTTTTCAATTACTAAACCAATGAAGATGTTTTGTGGCAATTAGGCAGCCATTCATATTGAGAGCAATCCAGTCTTTCATGAAAAACAAACTATATTAATGCCGATTGTCACTTCAATTCATGAGAAAGTGACTAACAAGCAAATAACAACCCCATATGTAAAGTCATCATATCAATTAGCTAATATACTTCAAGGGGCTTAGTCATAACCATACCCAGAAGATTTGTTCCAAGCTGGGCATGGGTGACATCTATGCTCCAACTTGAGGCGGCATATTAAAGAAGAACTTATTTTGCGTATTGAGGTATTTTCGTCATTTTAATATACTTTAGGATACTTATTTTTATTAAGGGTATTTTTTTCCTTGGTAGATCCTAAACAAACATTGTAAATAAAGATATTAGTGGGGTATGAAGTGACTAAATCTCATGTCACGCTCCTCTTTTTTCTCTTTCATCCTTTCTTTCTTCTCTATGTCTTTGCCTCTTCCTTTCCCTTTCTCTCTCTAGTTTTAACCTTTTTACAGTTCATGGCACTGCTTATAACACTGTTCACAGTAGTCTTCACGAGTACTATTCAAAAAGATAAAGCAAAAATTTAGCTCAATATGCGGTACCAAATATCCATGAGAGCGTAGATATTCATAATGGCATCATGTCCATCGTGTGCATTAACCCAAAAAAAATGGAATTAAGTTTAATTTTAAGAAAAAACTTATACATGTCAACCTTATACTATAGAATAGGGCGCATCTTAAAAATCCAATCGATATGGTTATCCTAACATCAAATAAACCCTACAATTCATCATCTCGAAAATGAAATGTATGAATATGAAAAAAAAAAAAAGGATTTTAAATCCTAAAAAAAGTGCATCTTGTACAACAGTATCTACACCGTCTATTTTAAAAAAAATTAAGTGTTTATAGATCTACTTAATTTACACCAATTTTTGGAGCTTTAAATTTCATAATTAAGGGTCGAAATAGATTTTTAGGCGACCATAAGAGTTTCCAGCACTGGAACTGCATCTTTTAGCAAGATTTAGAGGTGCACCTTTCTTTGATTGTTTAAGGTTGATACCTTATACAAACTGCACACTTTAAATAATTCTTTCACTAATATATTTCAAAGGTCAATGGATGACTACAAGAATTTCCAAATGCAGGCCATATGTATAAAGAACCGCATGTCATAAATTTGGTGTTTTTTTTCCTAGATTCTCATACCTAACACAAAAAATATAACAAAGAGAGTTGAATTATCAAGAGTACATTGCTTTGGTCCATAAGAGACATGGAAGTGGAAAGGACATAGAGCATGATACAAGGCGAGAAGAGGAGACAGGATACACATACAATTAAGCATGAGTTTCGACATCAATACAAAAGCATTCGAACAATTGAATAATCATAGGCTTTGCAGCAACAAAGTCTACAGTATATCATATTTCCTCATATAATATAGATGATGACAACTTATACTAAAACACATTCATCAAAGGATGTGCAACTATAAAATAAGGCTATTCCACACTCATCAAGGTACTAAAGATGGTTGATGCTATGGGCTTAGACAGTAGTGCTTGAAATGTCATGAGCATGCCTTCCGGGATAATTATGAATGTAGAGACTAGATCAGTTATAAATGAAACACATAGCCTTTAAGGATCAATCTATAACAGTAATAAAACATGAGAATGGGAAGCTGAACAATGCAGAACAAGCGAATCCCAATCAACCCGAAAGAAAACAACCTTCGAATTTGCTATTAATATGCAAACAGGGGTTCTCTTAGTTCCTTCACTAGTTTCCCTTTTGTCCTTCCCAATTTCTCAACTTGCACAGTTGCATATGTAAATTGGAATTAAGCAAGAGTTCACAAATGTAAGCTCATGGTTCTCAAAAGTTATCCCTGGTGAAATTAATAAGTCTTACAATAATGAAAATCATAAAAAGACTTCCTTCAGATTCCAAGTTCCATTTGCATTTCCAAGGATTTAGGCAGAATAGTTGCGCATCTAAGCAAATACCTAGTTTACAGTTACATGTTCATACCAAATAAAAACACAAACCCAAACTCCATCATGAAGACGAATCATGGCCCAACAAGAGAAGTTAAGAACAAATCGATTCAAGCTCACTACTATTGAGAAAACCAGACAACAGAAATCATTTTCACCGAAAGTCGATCATTTCAATTGTACCAAACCAAATTAGAATGTGGCAATTATGATCCCAATATTCTGAATTACCTTTATAAAAGTAAAAGAGAAAAGAAAAAATAGGAAATGAAAAAAAACTTAACGGCAATCAAATTGTGAAGATAAATTGATTTACAAAGAGGGTTGATCAGATGATCACAGTGAACCGAGTTTCTCAATATCTCAAACCAAGCTCCAATAAAGGGAGGGGAAGAAAGATATAGAGAGAGGCAAACCAAGCAAAGAGTTGGCTAACCTCCTCTGGTTAAGCTTGCGAGGTGCTGTAAAAGCAGTTCCAGAGATCTGCTCAGCGTAAAGTCCGAAAGGGCAGAGGAGAGGGCTGTTCTGATCACGAGGCAACGCTCCCCCCATTGCTTCAGACGAAAAAACATTACCAAAACCAGACTGGTATTCCAAACTCGAAAAACCATTTTCGTCACTCGAACCCATCAATCCAAACCTTTCTCTCTCTCGAACTGTTTTAACTCCCTAATTTCAAAAAAGACAATGGTATAGACCCACAAAAATCGAAAGAAGTACCAATGTGACCTTTTGCCAAGGAATATAAATTTTTTTTTATTTTTTTTAATCAGCTCTTCGTCTTTAGCAAAAAGATCACTTATTGGTCTTACGACAATCAATAAATATCTCAAAAAAAAACCAACATAACAATAAAACAAAACTCAACGACTTGAACCCATTTACACAATTAAATATTATGCTTGAGAATATAATAGTAAATTTGCATTAAATAAAAAAAAATATCGGAGATTACTTCAACCAGGTTTATTACATCCCACACAGAATCACCAACATCCGATAGCATGGGATGAGCGGTCTAGCTTCAATCTCAAACCCAGAAAGCTAATTTCGGCCAAACTAGGTTATCACCCTTAAATCTCTACAAAAACCCTAAATCCAAAATAATTTAGCTCAAACCCAATAATTTGGCTCAAACCCTAATTTTCCCAACCCTTAGGATTTTATGTCATGAGAGAGAATAGGAGGCCAAAGATTTGGAGCATGCCCCTTAAGGTTTTAGGAGAGAGAATGGCCCACAGGAGAGAGAGAATTGTGTATAAAATAGGGGGATACACCCCTATTTATAGTACAAAATTAGGTTTAGTATTTTTTGAGGTTTCTCATCGTTTGTCTCTTTGGTTGAGATTGAATATGGACCGTTGATCAGGATGACTTGTGGAATGAGAGAACTGAGTCATCCATTCCATAGATAGGCCATCAACATCATAGAATGTGTATGGAGCATTATTTCCCTTTCCTTAAACTATTTTCCCATCAATATATTTAAATAAATTAAATCTATTAAAATATCATGCATTCCATAAAATTGTATAATCTATCTCATATATTCCATAAGAATATTTCAAAAGATATCAAGTTAATATTTGCTATCTCAATTATATAAGATATGGTCAAAATATACCATATAATATTTGACCGCATGCAACAATATCAACTTTCCAAATTTAAATAACTTGATCACAAAGTAACAAAAGGGGCATGCAAAAGGTGAGGCGTGCCACCCATATGTAGCACATGTGGGCCCCACCCACTTGCCACATGGTGGGCCCATGTGATGGGTCCCCATGATACTTTATAAATATTTTAAAATTAACAAAATAATTTTAAAATATTATTTGAATTTTATAATTTTGTAAAATTAATAACTTTATTTTTATAAGTCCAAAGAATATAAATAAAATATAAAAAGACTCATAAAAATTTAAATAATAATTCTAAAATAATTTCTATCATAAAAAAAACACTATTAAATTAATTTGATGGGAAATCGATCCATATGGTTTAAAAATTCAATCCACAATCATGGGGCACTCTACCTTCAACTGTGGACTACATACTACACTTGCTTTATCGAACCGACTCAGTGTTTCACATGACCCACAGTTAGCGGGTCACCAAAGTCTGGCCGATGAGCCAAGGGGTTGCAATTTCAGTCTATGGATTACAGGTCCTCTTCTAGAGACAAGGTCACCACGACCTGATGCAACCATAGCTCTATGGTGCATATGGGTATCTCTCGCACATGCATATGCTTTACCCTAAAATGTGGCTTTCTGACTTTCCCGAACAATTTATCGCTATGCATGCCATGTGATGGATCAAGGATGAGATTTTGGCCCCTGTCTCTGTAGGCCCACCATCATATACAAGGGTCACACAGTTCATTGGCTCACTCATCCCGACATAAGCTCCGACCTCATCAAAGGATAACCCAAAACCCTTCTTGATTTATTCTATATGCCGAAGTATCTTGGGTTTTTCTCAACCTGACTGGCCTAGATTGTCAAGCAGAGTCCGGTATCAACAAATATCGTTTGCCTAGAACACATTATTTTGTCCCTAACTGACTTTGTACTTTGATTTAACAGAGTACATTAAGTTTTGGGTTTTTTTGTTTGTATTAACCAAGTAAAATTAATGCTTTTTTTTTTGTCCATAAGTTTTGTAAGTTTTGGGAAAAGTTTATGTAAGGTTGGAACTTTAAAATGTAGAATTAACTGTGAACCTCAAAAACCCATCATAAAATGTTGCTTGGATGTTGGAAAACTCTTTAATCAATCATCTCGACATCGAGATGTATGAATATGAAAAGAAAAAAAGATTTCAAGTTTGTGAAATAGTGTATCTTGCATTATACTATTTGGACTGTCCATTTTCAAGATTTTCATGAGCTTGTACATCTACTTGATTTGAACCATTTTTAAAGTTTAAAAATTTATAATTAGAGATGGAAATAGATTATCAAGCCATCCTAAAAAACTTTGATATCAAAATTACATTTATGATGAAATTTAGAGGTGTGCCTTAATTGGATTGTTTAAGGTTGCAACCCAAACCACACCTTTCTATAATTTGGTATGTCACTAGAGCGTTGAGCTCATATCTCTTTGTTTTGGTTAAAGACGAGTTAACCAGACACCTACAAGATGAGGTATCGCAGTGTGTGTTGTTTGTTGATAACACAGTAATGATCGATGAGACTAAAGGCGGCGTCAATGCAAAGTTAGAATGTTGGAGGGATGCTCTAGAATCTAAAGGTTTTAAAATTAGTCAAACTAAGACAGAATATATAGAATACAAAATATGAAAAAAAATTAAATATGAGAGAAATTATGTGTGGCTTCTATAGGTGATAAGATGAAGGAAATAAGACTTAAGTAGGCTCGTCATGTGCACGTACATTATCTATCTATCTATCTATCTATTATATATAAAGGAAGAGAATGACCCCCTTTATTTTGTTGTGAAAGTGTCCTTCTATCTTTATAGTTTTATTTATTTTCTATAATCTCTCTCCTCTCTACGTTTATTTACTTCTCTCTCCCTCTTTCCTAAAATCTCTATCCCACTCTCTCCCTAATTTCTATATTTTCTCTCTCTTTCCTAAAATCTCTCTCTCACTAGCTCCCTAGTTTCTATATCTCTCTCTTTCCCTCTTTCCTAGAATCTCTTCCACTCTCTCCCTAGTTTCTATATTCCTCTCTCCCTCTTTCCTAAAATCTCTCTCCTTCATTTAAGATCTCTAATATCTTTCCTCAAATATTTATCAAGGTATTCTATTTCTATTTTTCTCTCTCACACCATCAATGGCTATCTATCTTTCACTCAAGTACCTCTTTGTCTCTCAAACACGCACGCCTCATTCTCTCTCTTATGTGAAACACTCTGTTTGGATACTATTTCTATATTTAATTTCTTTTTTTTAGTTTTGCATTTATTGCTCATGCTCTCACTCTCTCCTACTAATGTCTATCATTTGTTTCACTTGAAGTACAATTGATTATATCTTTCTCTGCAAGGCGACGATGCATGTGCTCTATATAGGTATGTTTATTTCTATTTATTTTGTTAGTCTACATTTATTTTTTGTTTTTAAATTATTCATCTAACTTCATGAAAACATGTACCACCTTTTTGAGAGCATTTAATCAGAATATGTATGCGGGTGGGTTGGTTTTTTTAAGGCTTTGGTGCTGTTTTTTTATGCTATAAATTGTTGATAAGAGAAGACCAAAGAAAATAGTTTTAACTAATTCTCAATTTCATATTTTTTAATTCCTATTTTTTATGCTTTTTACAATTTCTATTATGGGAGTGATATCCTCTAATTGGGATGATGTAGCTTCAATGATTAAGAGTGAGAGTTTTCAAATATAGAGAATTTTGATGGCGTGATGCAGTGTTCGCAGAACCGGGCGATCTAACCTCTAATCGCTTGGTTAGATCTGAGTGATTTTGATGATCAACCGGTATTTAAAAAAACAAATAAAACAAATATATATAAATTCCAAAAAATAAGGAATTTGATTTGTAATGTATTTTTTTAATATTCTTTACATTAAGGTAAAGATTAAAAAATATTTTTGTAATTAATACTCACTTTTATATTTTCCCATCTTTTTCAAAAAAATTAAAAAATACCCCTAGGCACAAATCGATTAGTTAAAATCTATTTTTTTTTATAATTTTTCAACTTCGTTTGAATGTGTTTTGTTTTAATCCTTCGTTATCTTCTTTTTATATTTTAGTAGAATTTTTTTGTATATTTTTATTTTTTTCAACACTTTTTTGACCGCCCGGGACTTGCCCGGTTAGAGTGGTTGAATCGGCAAGTTTACCGGTTAGATTGGTTAAACCACTTTCGGGCCCATGTCCGGTTAATCATTCCTATTCGATTTTGCGAACACTAGTGTGATGTTATTTCCACTTCACCTATTAACCTAGAATGTTTGAGAGTGAGAGACTTTTTGAAGAGAGAGAGAAAATAGAGATACTAGAGCATGAATTACCTTTTTTGAACTCTAAGGGTTCGTTTAGATACCTGGAAATATATTATCTGTGAAATATATTACTGGCGTAATACATTACATGTAAGGTCATTTGGATACCTAAAAATATATTGTTTGTGAAATATATTACTAACGTAATACATTAATGTATAATACGTTACAAGCAAACATATTGTTATTGTTTGGGTAGTATTTGGATGCAACCTGGGAAATACCTTGCTACTGTTTGGCTATGTCGGGAAGGAATGGCTATGTCAGGAAGAAATATGGAATAGGCATCAGCCCTAAACTCTAAAATAGAAGAAGTCCGAAGATTGTTGCATAAAAAGAATAATCTTCATAAAACAAAGAAAAACAAAGAAACAAAAACAAATAAGAACACACAAGAAAACACATAAATTACATTTCCCTCCTAAAAGAAGACCGATTTTTTTTTTTTCGTTAATCTTTGCCAAAAATTGCTGATTGTTGACATACATTCGGGGCATCAAACAATAGGAACTTTTATAAAGAAACCATTGAGTATCAAGAAATGAAATATATAAACTATTGATTCCCCAACCCAATTCCATCGAATAAATAAATGATAATAAGAACCAGAGCTCAATCAAGTAGTTTTAACAAAGGAATGAAACAAAGAGACAAAGCATTATCTTTGACACAAGGACATAGCATAGAGAGGAAAAGATCACTTCCACTAAGCATGACACACAAGCAACTTCCATTGATTTTAACATTTTGATGAAAAGGCCAATGAATAAGTCCATTACAACAATTAATCAGAGATCTTGCATGAATAAATGGGAAATGAAAAATAAAAAAAACTTAAAGGCCTTATCAGATAAGCAAATGCAATTAGAAATGGCCAAAATATGGAGATCATAGAGATTTACAAAGCTATTGATGCTACAAGAAAAATCAAAGCATCACAAAGAGGATGAAAAATCATAGCACCGTAGAGAAACAAGGGCACCTAAGAGAGAGAAACCAAACTAATAAAAAACCAAAATTCAAAAGCAGAAGCAACATAAGCAAATTAGCTTTAATGGGGATCACTACGTTGCAGAGGCAACTTGCAAAGAGAGAGTTAATTAGTTTAGTGTAGTGAGAGAAAACCAAGAAAAAGAGGGAGAAAACCAGGTAATGGGAGAAGAACTCCTCAAATTGAGGATCAGAAGAAAGAAAATAAATACAGAATAGAGGATCAGAAGAAAGGGGTATCTCAAATTGATATTGAGGTCCAATCTTCATCTAATATGAGAGCTGATGGCTTCAAATGAGGGCTACCACCCAAATTGGGGATAAAGATATGTAGAAATGGATGTGCACAAGATAGTGTAGAAATAGATGAGCCCAAGATGTGCAAACACTTATAAATGGAGTTTAGATAGAGAAAGTAGAAATAGATGTGCGCAGAGAGAGAGAGAATGACGGGAGAATGAGGGAGATAGAGGATTTTTTTTTTTTTGGCAAAGAGATGCTCGTAGTTAGATTACCCGTTAAACACGTAATGGATTTCACAGTCATCCTGCTCGTAATAGATTTCACGTATTTTGAAGAAATCATGTGTAATTTATTTCCATTTTCTTACGGTTAAAGTGTACCCAAGCATGGTAAATCTCATATTTCCTTGTAATATGTTTCCTTGTAATAGATTTTCAGGTACCCAAACGGCCCCCAAATGTATTGTTACTATTTGGGTAATATTTAGATGCAACCTCGAAAATATATTGCTACTGTTTGGCTATATCTGGAAGATATATGGGAAATGCATTTCCAACATTTTACCAACGCTTGCTTATAAACTATCATTTTTTTTTTTTTGGTCACAAAATTCCACTGAAATACGGAATTAGAGTCATCGTCACACCATTTCCTCAACTCTACAATTGTAGCACCAATTTCTTTCACAGCTACACCTATTGACTCCACAGTATCAACCATGGGTTTCTTTTTCTTCCTCGATGGCATGATCGATGTCAATTTATCGAATGGATTGGTGGTCATTTTCATCCGTCCTTGATTAGGCCGGTATCTCTTGGAAGTCCTCATTGTCATCTATTTGCTCAACAAAATCATCATCATCTAAGCTTACAATTGTCTCTCGAACATCCTCAACACCATCATCAATGTCCTTTCTCTAGTTGTGCAGCCGTCCTGGTACCGGCACCATGTTGGACAGAAAGGAACTTCAAGAAATTAGTGTATTCTTATTACAAACTAAACATTCAACACATCAATCAAAATAAATATTTTCTAAATAAATAAACATATTAATGTTCAATATATAAACGTACAATGATATTTCAAAAAACACAGATACGATTCTCTTGGTTGATGAGTATTCAGAACTAGAACCGTAGCAATCATTTCTTTACCACATAGATGATTTCCCACAAAGAAACTATTTGAATGCTTTAAATTAAGTTTATACCGGTCTAGATGATTTGCCCAAAACATAGAGTCGCTGATTCACACATATACAAACATTTAGTAATGCATGATTAAGGTTTGTCACAATCAAATGGAATTTCAAAATCAACAATTATGTTCATATTTTATTATCATCTCTATTGTTGTGTGCCATTTCCCAAAACCACTCAAGTAAAATAATCAACATCCAGAAACTAAAAGATATTTAACCAACATTTATCTAGACAGAAAACAAAGATACCCATACAGACTGTGAAATGTCAATTTTGTTAGAAAAAAAAATCCCATCCGTGCACTCATGGCCTTCAAGGCCAAAACAATTTCTCAATAACCAATCCATAAAGAGAAGCAGATAAATCTAATTAAAGCACAGAGAGAGAGAGAGAGAGAGAGAGAAATCAAATTAAGTAGCATGTATCATACTCTGTTTTATTTCAGCACCATCATGCATCATACTCTGATAATTTCAGCAGCATGTATCATAGAGATTTAGTGACACATAAATTATGTTGCCAATAAGCTGCCTATACTTGGGTAAGATTATTGCTTACCTTGATTATACAAAGAATGCCATGAAATTCATATCAGAGAGTATAAAAATAATTCATTGTTGTTCATAGCAGATATAACCTAAACTTCAAAAAAAATTCCTAAATTGTAGAGAGAGAGAACCCATATAGGATTTAGAAAATGAGCTCACAAACTCAAGAGAGAGAATCCCAAATGATGAATTATACAAAAATCTTAGAATAAATTTCATAGAGAGATGCCCACGTACAAAAAACAATTGTCATATAACCAAAACCCAAAAAGAAAAACAATTGACCTTATGAAATAAATATTGGTAACTACTGTGTAATAACCCCATGATCAAGATTTCTGAAATTTTTCATAATTACTGATTTTATGTAAACTAAAATAATAAGAACGAGCCAAATCAACCTATAATTTTACTGATTTTATGAAAACTAGAGTAACAAAGAATGAACCAAATCAACCTAATCTTACCTGCTCAAATCAACCCATTTGTCATGTAAAATGTTTACTGTTGCAATAATCTTTTACCCACCAAACCCTACTTTGTAAAAAATACTTTTTGAAAATTTAAATTTATAAAGAAGCTGCTATAAATTTATTTTTAATAACATCAACACTATGAAAACAACATATAACTCATCATTGGGATTAGTTTATTGAAATCAAAGTTTTAAAAATTGGTAATCCAAATTAGAATTAATTGATTCTGAATAGGAACGAGTTAGGCCAATCCGAATCCTGCTAAGTATCGAGAATTAACCTATTCCGCCCATGAACCTGTCGCTGGTTCTCTAACAGAATTGGTAGGTTCTTTCATATAATCAATCTCGCTTTATTTTTAAAATATTATTTTCGATTGTTTTTTATTTATTTTTTTATTTTTTTATTCTTCAGTTCACTAAGTTGGTTGTCTGATTTGAATCGCCGATCGATTGATTCCAGCTGGATTGCTTATCTAAACCGCCTATATGCCAATTCAAACCAGTTCTCTAGAAGTTTTTAAAACTTAATTGAAATAATATATGGAAAAATATACAATGAGACAAGTTATGATCACAATTAATTTTGACAACTGGATGTGAAATTAAACGGCTGCATTTATTTATTCCATCGACCAAGCTCAACCTTAAAATAACAAATTTTTTTTTTCGAAATTTTGTAAGGTATCATATTTTACATCAGAAATTGACCTCCTTGTATCAAATGATCTCATTGTGTACAATATCTATTGCCTCCGATTGGTCTTACTTCTAACTGGGTCAAAGTCGAGAAAGCCATCAATACTGACTGTTCTAGAACCATCATTTCCTTCACAATGTTTCCATTTTTGCAGTGATACCCAGTTTTCATATTGACTTCCATGGCCTTCACGTACTGTACTGGTCAAACTCTCTGTCATTTCGCTAGATCCAGGCGTTCCCCTCTCATCAAAGGAGGGGTGAAACACACAATAGGTGGAAAAACCCATTGAGGCCCCAAAATTTGAGACTTGTTAGAGAGAGAGAGTTATATTCTTGGTTTAGTTAGAGAGAATTCTTGATTAATCTTTTGCTGTTGGGTTTATTGTATTCTGGTGATTAGGCGATTGTGTTGCCTCCATGGCGAACGCTGTTGCATTCTTTGCAGCTGTTAACCCACGAGTATTGAACCGTCCCTTGGGTTTGGGATATATTCGTCGGAAGTCTCAAATAGCGTCGATTTATCGATTTCAGTCCCTTCGAGCTCATCGATCCTTGGTTTTTGCTTCTAAAGATGGATCACCGGTGTGTCATCTTTCTTACTCTAATTTGTGACTCTTTTGCTAATTTTCTCACTCGAATTTGTTTTGTAAACAAATTTCCTTAATTGAATTGTTGTTGTTTTCTCTGCTTTCCGGGACGTCTCCTCCCGAAGAGGATGTGTTTCTTAACTCTGTTTTTCTTTATGATGCTTTGAAGTTTCTGTTAAAATTTTCAAAATTTTGGTTTTGTTGTGAAAGGAAATTCTTTTTGCCTATTCTGCATTGGCATGATGAATTTGGCAGTCTCTAGTCACTGTGAGTGAAAACATGTGAAATGCTTGTATTGAATGGGAAATTGGTACTATATGCCTTGCTTCCATGTTTCTCTTGTTTTCTCGGTTCTAGAGGATCAATTCTTTGTTTGGAATTTCAGTTGTATTATATTATGGATTATGAAGTTGTTTTTTATGATTCGGGTAATTCAGCAAGGAAAGGGACCAGTACTGTTTCATTAAAAAGAAACTATTTGTTGCAAGTGGAACCTCTTAACAAAGTAGATTTTGATACATCATAAACAAATATGAAAAGAGAAAAAATCAGGTTGTAGTAGCCTCTATCGATCTCGCCCCCTGCTTTCCCCTGCTTGGCTAAGTGTAGCAGCCATTCGATTGGCTTCCTGAGAAAGTGTCCAATACACCAATAGACATTCCAAAGCTCCATTTGCAGCTACACAAGGTGGTCTGGAAGCTTCATGGTGATGATGATATGACCAGGAAACAATCTACCAACAGCCTAGAATCATAGAATCATTCTCGATAACACAAGTTGGTGCAATGTGATCATGGAATTGTTCCACACAAAGTATTATTTGAGATAACATATATAAGACAGGGTTTAATGATCACTCAAATTAGGGGAGTAGCATCTTATATTTCAATGGAAAGAGAAGGAGCTGTTTGTAATTTGTTTGTGTTGGAGATTTGAATGTTTTGTTTGTAATTTGTTGTGTTAT